ACTCGTATTTTAGCTCTTTTTCTGGAATGGATGCTGCTCTGCGCCCCTTGGTGAACATTTCCTGCGCTCGTGGAGCAGCTGAAAAGGACCACTGGTATGTGTGGTTCCTGGTTTGAAAGTGGAGAGTCGACTTTTGTGCCTTGAAAAAGGAGTAGAGAGCGATTAAGGTACGTCTGTGGCTTATTTTTGAGTGCTCCTCGTACATTTTTGATCATGATAGGAATTCTCAGACCAAAGTCAGACCAAAGTCAGCGCGATGATGGCCGTAGAGTTTTCTTGTGGATTTTTTAGTTGTTTCATCTCGTATCTATGTCAGTATCGTGATGGTGAAGTGGAGAGGGTGATTTTCTTCCTCTAGGCTTCGTTCGGCCGACTTTGCTTCGTCCTCGTTGAAAAGTGATCCTGAAAAAAAGGTCGATTCGCAAAATTATGTTGATTTTCAATGTACGTGATGACATGCGATTGCTGGCTATGGGGATAAAGAGACCATGTGCATAATGAAAAAGAGCGTACAAAGTACAAAATGTGCACAAACCTATGGAACGAAATGGACATTCCACTGTTCTTAGACTTGCCAAGCACAAAAAAGCAATATTGAAAGCGCCCATTTGGCCATAAAATGTGTACGAATGATATCACAAAGAAATGCCACTGTGCACCGGGTCTAAAGGATATTCTCGTTGGGCAGACCGACCTGCCGCTGAGTGAGCTTACCTTGTCGGCTTCAACGTTCTGCTCAAGACCATCCAGCACAGCATGACAGGCTTGAGTGACAATGTTCTAAGAGGAGAATGGATTAGATCATGAATACTCGGTACTTAGTACTGTTGTGGCTGGTATCTCAAGTACTGCAGTACACTAGCACAACTAAGGCATGCGCTATTCGGCCGCCCACGTGCACAAACTGCCCAAGGAGTTGATAATATATTCAGTTCACTTAGCACTCTTTGCACTAAGTTTTGAAATACTTTGGTGACTGGAAGGAGAAGAAGCACTGGCAAGCTTTTCCAAAGACCTTTACTTGCATGTTGTGTTTCATGTCGCTTCTTGCTATCTATGTGTCACAACCCTGCTGAAAATACCAATACCAACGTGAACACCCTAGTCACTCAACCAACCTGGAAGGCTCTGTCTGGCGTTCTGCCGTGCGATGATTCCGACACAATGTAGAGAATACTGAGACGTTGATTCCAGTCCGTAGTGGCCTGAACACGATCTAGATATGGCTGAGGAGGAAATGCATGGTAAGCAGAAAGAATCACATTTACATGCCTTAGGGCACTGCAACTACCACCGGTATATGCAAACACTATAACTCCTAACTCCTAACTCATATGTAACTCATCGTATAGTATTTGTATTTACGGATTCACCACAGGCCTTAGCCTAAATCGAGGGAGTCTCCGTACATCACTGATATCATGTGCCCATTTACACTGTGCTGTGCCCGTGTTATTTGAGGCGTCTTCCTTTGCTTCTTGTTGTTGTTGTTGTAGTTGTTGTATTTGGCATTGTTAATTGCTTCTTGTCTGATCTCTGCTCCTCCTCCTTCTTCTTCTCTCTCACTGACGTCCTCTTTGTCACAGTTCTGAAAGTGTCCTCCAAATCTGACTTGTTCTTGTGGTAAAATTGTGAGTCCAGGCACTGAGAGGCAAGTAGAAGGCACCAGGCATATGCACACTTAGCGAGTAAGGTCAGGTTGCATCACAGACAGGTGGGGGTGAAAGTTCAAGCTGCACCATAGTTTGATGAATGCACCTAGCCATAGTCAACAGCATATTCGCAGCCCATTGCACGAATAGTACATGTGGCGATTTGATCGTCCAGCAATGTGTGCTTCAGAGGTTCCTCGGACTGGCTATAACATGCTATGTGCAGAGGGTCAGTCGTACACTTACATACAGAATGTCAAGAGGTACATTATTGTGGGCCAGGGCGCACATCATGGAGCTGATCTCGGCATCTGATAGCTCATGGAACCTCCTCCTGCACTCTGGCATAAGGAATGCAGAAAGTGCTGGTCTAAAGTTTAGTTTCAGTGTTGGTAAGCAGGCAGAGAGCAACGTTTTCCTGACATAGAACACAGTACAGAGATCGAAAAATGGCACCACAATGCTGTTAAATGTCGGCTGCAAAGTCACTGAAGAGCAAACTACTTCAAATTCAAGCACTATTAGTTCAATCTCAATTCAAGGTTCAGCTGAAATCGCATACCTTCGCAAGCTGGCCTCCATTTCTGCTACGTAATTATCTATCGTTGCAAACATTGCCCGCATTACCTGCCTTACGGTATTCAGACCTAGAGTTCCACGTACTGTCGATACAGAAATAACCGAACTTTTCAAACCTGGCCAAAATGGCTCATACAGTAAAACCTGTCTAAGGCGACCACTCGAGGGACGAGAAAAAGTGGTCGCCGTGGCCAGGTGGTCTTCTTATCCAGGTTCACGTGACCATATCCACATGTGATACATACATCATTTTGATCAGTGTATCACAGTGCACACCCCTATGCTACTCTATCACGACTCATGTGCCTGGGGTCATCAGACCTGTCAAGTGTCGTGCATGCACCATGCACATCTACACTTCCCGCACTGATTTGTAGATCTACCATGCATGGTGCACCATGCAATGCATACATTTTCATGTACGAGCACTGTGCAACGCGGTCGCGTTGAGCGAGTGGTCGCCTTATCCGAGCTGTTTTGAATGTGAATGCGTCCGTGACAAGGAAAAGTGGTCGCCATATCCGAGTGGTCGCCATTACAGGTTTTACTGTAGCTGAGCTATTTCTGTATGGACGTTCTTGCACCTACTGTAAAACCGGGAATTTTCGGTGTTGTAATATTTTCAGTATTTCCCAAAATCAACGGTTCAGTGGCGCGAAGATTTCGGTAAACCAGTTTTCCAGATCCAAAAATGCATTTTGCACACTGTGTGGCTTGGCATGGTTAAGAATCTAAGGTAAAATTTACCTGTACCGAAGTTACCGAAAATAGATCTCGACCGAAATTTTCCAGTTTTACAGTACGTTTTGAGGTCTAGATTCCTCCAAAAAGCGGATGGAAATTAGGAAAGTTGTTTCGCCAGCTTTTGTGAATAGACTTGCTAGCCCAAAACCAATTTCGCCATGACAAAAAATCATGCATTGAGTCCAGTAATTTGGCCTAAATCGGGGTTAAAACAAGCTCAATTATCTCGGAACGGACTGCAGACCTGCCCTGAATGTCTGTAAGCAATAGCTATAGTCCATTGCAAAAACATTGACAATCAGGTTTTGGTCTTAAAAAGTATGAAGATAAGGGGAAACCCGAAAACAAAGTACATAGAATGGCTAGTTAGGGCATTGCAAATCGTTCTGTAAAGGCTTCGGAACAATTGGACCAGCCGTTAAGGAGTTAAAAGGATTTCGGCCAGGTTTCTGGCCTTTTCCCCTGGTGTAGACAAGTAATGATTAAAAGGATGCCCACATAGCAGTATCCCCTTATCCCCTTAGGCAGTGCCGTGACGACTCACTTCTCTTGAGACCCCAGTGCCGCTTCCAATGCTTTCAAGCCGCTGGACATCCCCGGGTATTCCAGAACGCTGAGCAACTGGCAGAACTCATCAGCACTCAGGGAAGCGGCGCGAGGAAATGTTGATTGCGCCACAAATGCAGCAACGTTGTAGTGCAGCATCTGCCAAAAAATACAGAACAGAAAATGGCATACAAAGTGGCTTTGATATCCCATTTCGGACCTCCAAAACCTCAGCCTCAAAATGGTGCAAACATGTCGAGAGAAAGTACGATTTTTGAGAGCACCCGATCCTCACCTTGAAAACTTTCAAGCACTGCAGAAGGTCTATCAGCTGAGTATTGGAGAGATAGGCAATGTCCTCGACTATGCACCGCACTACACTTGTGTAGAAGTTTGGGTGCAGATAAGGCGGCGACAGTCTATCATCCTGAGAGAGGATCTGTTAGCAACAGGTCAACCGCATGTCCATGTGTGAGAAAGAGAAAGAGAGAGAGAAATAATAGTGAACTCTTATGTAAAGGTGAGTCCCATGCCCGACCAATACGCAATACATGTGTAGTATATCAAAATGCTCGAAATTAGTGACTGTGCCAAGAAACGGAATGTAGTGAATCTCTCGTACACATAAAAACATAAAGAATGCAAAAAAATGGACTGCATTATCCAGGTGTACGTCTCCCCCGGGTACGCACTATGTAACTCCGTACGTACTGACGTGGACATTGAAGTCTGATGGGACGACCGGGGCTGGCGCCCTTACTGCCTTAGCGCATCCATGCACTGTAGTTTACGCACACGCTGTCAACATGGACCAGCAGTGCTAACGTCTGCAAGGCCAGCACCCAGTGTAAACATGGACCAGCAGTGCTAACGTCTGCAAGGCCAGCACCCAGTGTAAACATGGACCAGCAGTGCTCACGGCGGCTGCAAGGCCAGCACCCAGTGGCCGCTTGACTTCTCAACGGATTTCAATGTCCACAACAGTACATACATAGCAGGCCCGCCAGAAGGAGGGGGGGGGGGGGGGGGTGAAGTTGGTTCGGTTTGAGGGGTCCAGGGATCTCCCGCGGGAATTTTTTGGAAAAATCCGGTCAGAAATAGAAGAATTTGGCCTTTTCACAAGTTTTCAGAGCCCACTGCAGGGAATAATTGTGTATGGATATCAATGTATAATGTATGGCTTACTATTTTTAACGTTATGGGAGCTTGTACAAATGTATGCATGGTCGATAACACATGTACAATTTTTTCTCCCCGGTTTTAGACGAATCCTAGGGGGTGACCTGAGCCAGAGTTGGTCCGGTGACAACCGGACCAACCGGACCGGTTCCGGCAGCCCTGCATTGCTAGCATGCTGCTCAATGAAATCCGATCGAGCGAGTCAACTTCACGCCCCTGAACCAGCGAACATCACAGTGCTAGCTGGACTAGGGCTGCTCAGTGCCTGGCAGCGTGCACTTGACTCACGCGATCGGATGTCATTGAGCAGCACTGCACTGCACAGAGTGCGCCATTCTTGTGTATGCTCGCCGGCGGAAAACTGACCTTTGCAGACAGGAGAATCTTCTCTGCGGAGAGCGATGGCGCGCACAACGACAGGAAGTAGTGCAATGATGACCGGAGGCTGGCAGCTTCATTCGGAATACATGGCAACACGCGCAGGAAGTTCTGCAAGCAGGAAAACACCCACGGCTCCGGAATGGCCATTGATATGCGATTCGCAAGCACAGGTACCAACCCTGCTGCCAGTTCCGTGTAACAAGACACCTGTGAAAGAATTGGAAAAAAATGGCAAACAGTCTCTGTGGAGCGGCTTACATGGCACAACCTTCCCAAACACTTGAAGAATAGTTACACAGAAGCCCCTAACAGTGTCAAGCACCAGTACATGTATCTACTATATCTACTGGTACCAGGTAAGTCCCCCCCCCCCCCTCTCTCCCCTGCCTTCTTCACTTCTCTCCCCTCCCCATTTCTCCCCTTTCATTTCACTCCCCGGGCTTGCTACGCTTCCGTTTTCAATAATAAGCCGCACACGGGCATTGCTAGTGTTGTGAAAATGATGTGTTGTTTTCCTGTGTGATGGCATTCCCCAAACTGTCTCGTCTAGTCGCGTGCATGTGTGATATGAGCATGCGCGACTTTGTAGTCGAGAGTCCTTTTGTGAGTCTTCTTGTTCGTCCTTTTGAGTGTTGTCTCGATTTCCGTAATGTCAATATAAATAATGTAATACAAACCAGTCTTGTCCTTGGTGTCCTGCGTCCCGGGGAACGGAATGGCTGTGATTCCGTTACAACGTGGTGCCGAAACCCGGGACGCAGAGGATGAGTAAGTTTGTCATGAGTCTGTTCGTCGTCGTCAACAAATAATAGTAAGCGTGGGGATGGAGGTGATCAAGAGAGATGAGGAGCTGGTGGAAGCGGAAGACGACGCGGAGAGGAGGCAGAGAAGGTGGTGGACCGGCAGAAGCTGGGGACTGGAGCCTGGGACGGCAAGTACCGCATGGAGCGTGTGGCCGTGGCTCGCCAGAGGCCAGTGGATGAGTCTGGCATCACCGACTGTGTGTCGTCCTTTGTTGCTCGTCTTGTTGTTGTCTTGCTCGCTTAATTGTCTGATCATGTTTCTCTCGCGGTTCAGTTCGTTGCTGTGTTGTTGAGTTTGGTTGTCGGTATGTTGCTCTTCTCGTCGTTCTGTTCTGCATTAATTTGCTGCTATTTGTTGGAGCTTTGGCTCTCGTGTTTCGGTTGGCCTTGTGTGCCTGAGTTTAGAGCGTCGGCTCTTGTGTTTTTTGGTTTGGCCCTGTGGTGCGGCTTGGTTGAGAGCGTCGGCTCTTGTGTCTTGGTTTGGCCCTGTGTCGTGGCCCAGTTTTGTTGTGCTACAATTTAAGCTTTTGGTCGGTTTTGGTTTTTCTGTTTTGCTGTGGTTCCTTTTGCTGTTGTGCATGTGGAACGTGGTGTCGGTTTATTATTTTGTGGAATGTCATCAAGGGGGCAGGTGTTGTGAAAATGATGTGTTGTTTTCCTGTGTGATGGCATTCCCCAAACTGTCTCGTGTAGTCGCGTGCATGTGTGATATGAGCATGCGCGACTTTGTAGTCGAGAGTCCTTTTGTGAGTCTTCTTGTTCGTCCTTTTGAGTGTTGTCTCGATTTCCGTAATGTCAATATAAATAATGTAATACAAACCAGTCTTGTCCTTGGTGTCCTGCGTCCCGGGGAACGGAATGGCTGTGATTCCGTTACACTAGAGTAGACTGTAAAACGGTCACGGTGCAAAAGAACAAAATGGCTTTGCTTTTTATTTCAATTTCCACGGTGTTTCGCTTTCAAGAGATCCCCATGCACAGTACACATCTTTCAAGAGATCCCCATGCACAGTACACATCTTTCAAGAGATCCCCATGCACAGTACACATCTTTCAAGAGATCCCCATGCACAGTACACATCTTTCAAGAGATCCCCATGCACAGTACACATCTTTCAAGAGATCCCCACATGCAGTACACGTACGGTCTCTCTGACGGGCCAAAGCTGATGCAAAAGCTCTGTCAGTGTGTGGAGACCCGAACCAGTCACTGCAGAGTCCAACGGCAGTACAAACGAGAGAACAGAGCCAAGTTTCAGCAGGTTTGCATGGTCGTCAAGGGACATTAGAGATAGAAGTGCCATAGATGTGTTGACTATGTCGGCTGGCAGCATTGACGAGGCGAACTGGTCAACTCTGCCCAGTACACGTGTTGTTGCGGATGCTTTGCGAATCTGCACCATGAGCATACAGTCATACACACACATACCCACACATACAAACATACATACATAGTATTACAATCAGGCCACCTAGAATTAATTCGTTGTTTCGGGTCACTTCACTCATCCGTACCAGGGTCGGTTGGTCGGGTTTATTTTTTATTTTATTTTTTACTTTAGTTGCGGGCATGTGCATACATGTACAACTGTGCATATCGAATAGCTTTTCTCCATCAAGCCAGTCGATCAAATCTGGCTGTAGTCGATCCAGCGTAGCCATTGTCCCATCAGATCCAGGTCCCCTCCAGGACCAGATCTTGGCCTCGCTGGCAAACGAGTCTGACGAGCAGCTTGACAACTTCTGTCAATGAGCGACGCAGTGGCGGAGCTGATGCTGTTTCAGGACCGATTGCGAATCGGAGATAGAAGACAATGTCGTCACCAAGTGCTGCATCCTGTCGGCTGCTTCTGAGGTCGATGTCTGAACTGCTATATTTTGGGTCGCGTGTGTACATAGTGCGAATCGGAGATAAAAGACAATGTCGTCACCAAGTGCTGCATCCTGTCGGCTGCTTCATGCTTCTGAGGTCGATGTCTGAACTGCTATATTTTGGGTCGCGTGTGTACATAGTTAGTCTAGTCATGCACGTTTGGATGTATTAAAAAAAATTGCGGTCGGGTGAAAAAAGACGGTCGGTCGGGTGACCCGAAACAACGAATTAATTCTGGGTGGCCTCATACACATCCATACATACATCCATACATCCAAACATACACATACATACAATACAATACAATAATGCCCATCCGTAGATGATGGCAGATCCTGAAAGGACCGATAGTGCACATACACACACGTACACATGAACGCACACCAACACGCGCGCGCACACACACGCACGCACACACACACACGTGCGCACGCGCGCGCACATGCACACACATGCCCATTGCTGAAGCGAGGATAGCGAACAAGCTATGTTTGACTTAGCAATCTGTGCTGGTATTACACCGTTTAGCAGCTTGTAAGGCTCAATAATTTACCCCGCTAATCAGCTAATCAGTTGAGCCTGGTCTCCACCAATGCAGGACTGTATGTGTAAAATTACTCGCAGCACTCACGTGCACACACATTCCAACTATTTGTGATCTCTACAGCAAACGGCTTTACGACTGACCTGCGCATTCGCCAGGGCGTGCGCCAAGCTGCACATCTGATTGCAGTTCAGCATGTCCATACGCGTCTCCACAAATAGGAAAACTTTGTTACATGTGTCCTGAACATTCTCACACCATGGTATGAGGCTATACAGTCTGGACAGAGCACACATGATCTGCAAATGAAAGTCACACAAGACAGAGCACACATGATCTGCAAATGAAAGTCACACAAGACAGAGCACACATGATCTGCAAATGAAAGTCACACAAGACAGAGCACACATGATCTGCAAATGAAAGTCACACAAGGTCATACAACATGCTCACTAGTTCTACTCAATCATGCAACATTCACATTTCCTCCATTTACCATGCTGCATACTCACCGGATCATGTGATAATTATTGTCATATTATTAGGCCAAAACAAAAAATAGGCTTGTTTCCGGTCGGCAACCCCTCAAAAGGGAGACTCGGTCGGCCGGAATGAAACTTTTTTTGGATACTTTTTTTGGTTCCTCAATCGTTGTGGTATTGATGGACAAAAGCACCTACATATGTACATTGTACATATATCATGGAAAGGATCAATGTCAAAGTTGACTGACTCACTGTTCTTGTACAGCATGTGGTGTATTCCTGTTTTCGTACATCCTGAGAAATCAAGCAAACAGTTCGAGTCCGTCCAGCTCCGTTGTTCTAGCTCGTATCGACCCCGGAGTTTTTCGAGCCGACAGCTGAGAATCTCTGCTACCTTGTAGGTGTTTCGATTGTGGAATTCGGTTGAGATTTGACTGAGTTATGACTCGTTGAGTGCACTTGCACACATTGCATTGCCACCGTTTGTATACATTTGGGACCAAAAAAAGTTTCAGAATTTGGGAAAAAGTGGCCCGGTCGGGCGACCGGAAACAAGGTCATTATTTGTTTTGGCCTTATAAGCATCACTGCAGAATAGTGTCACTACGAATTAGCGATTGCCCATATGTGAAAAGCGTTTCGACAAGACATTCATTATTCATAGTCACATTGTCATGGAGAGTGGTGATACATGAAATACGACCCCTGGAACTGAGCACGCATTTGCTCTGACTCACACAAATAGTAATGTTACCCTGACGACATGAACCTTTGAACCAATGACTTTTGAATATATGACCTCTGAACCTATATTTGACCTTTGGACATCTGACCTTTGAACCTATTATCTTTGAATCTCTAACCTTTGAACCAATGGCCTTTGAATGTACGACCTGTAATCAGCACTTGAAGTGCTACAGGTTGCATTTCAAGAATACACTCACATGCATGTATACATTTATGTACATGTCACATTACTTACTGGTAGAGTGACAGCTATGTCCACCTTGCTGCTCGCCAGATTCTGGAATTTCTTGCAAATTGCAGAAACACTCGTGTTCCACTGACGCAAACACACATACAGCATTCAGAAGACGGAATCAAACCAATGGGAATAGGAATCAATCTGCCCACCATCCGAGGAGAGCTCAATTCATGAATCCCGAAGAGTTGAACACGCGAAAAGCAAACACACACAAACATAAGCAGGAGCAGTTAGTAAGGGTCTTGTAGCCCTTGTATACCCGATTATCAGACATAGAGTCCATCTGCTGATCGCATGTGTAGAGAAACTCTCAGTCACAAAAACTAGCATACTGCTCCTGCTGCCGTTTGCCGCTACAGTGCAAAGTTTGCGTGCCTCTAGTGAATATCAAGAACATGACCACATGACATGTCCGCGTACAGCAGGAAAGGAGGCAGCAAGGGTGCCATCAATCCTGTGTGACACAGTTTCATTCATCTCTGCATAGTGAATACCATGCTGTCAAGGCATGCACATAATATGCGACACAGCTATCCATACCAGGCATCCATAGACGTGACACCGCCTATCCACAGAACGTTACGTCGCAAATCACAATAGAAGACAGAACATTCCAAGCAACAAAACACAATAATTATCATGCACAGCCAGTGAGGATAGCAAACTCACAGTTTCGGCCTCCGGTCCCTCTTTTAAAGTCAGGAGCTGCTGCGCGGAACACTGGGTCAGAGCATCTGTGATGGCCTCTGCCGCAGCGACATCATCCATTGAATACTTGCCGCTGGCTAGCTCTGCTGCTATATCAATGGCTTGCTGCAGTGGTGATACACCCTGTATTGACTGGGTATAGGCGTTTTGCCAATCCGGACGCCTGTCGCCATTCTGCCAGTTCGATGGGTCGTGGTTGTCCGCGGCACTATGTACAGACCGTACTTTGCTAACATGCTTGCTATGGTTACGAGATGCTGCTATATGGTTATGGATGCCAAGGTCACTGGTGGAGATATCCAAGGTTGGTGTAGTGGGTGCGCATCCGGGAACCGGCAAGAAGGGATTATGCCGCCTCAGCAGTTTGCTCATTTCCAGAGTCCAGTGCTTCGCGATGCGACCGAGTACATACTTGAACGCATCCTCATCCTTTCTCCGCACACTCAGTGCTAGGCGCCGTAGCCTGTTCGACACGGACGATGTGTACGGCCTAGGACTGCTAAATTGTAACCGTTCACTCGACGTAGTCGCATGATGCGTGGAGTTCTCTGATCCCGGAATTACAGCAGTACCTGATGTCCTTCGAGACAGCACCGGGCCAATTGCAGTCAAGCGGCCACCCGCTTTATAACAGATACCTGCACAGAAGAGCAGATACGTTAAAAATAGAAGTAAATTATCGTGTCCGTTCCCGAAGAGAACTCACGACGGCCGCTAAGACCCGGCAAACCCTAGCAGCAGATACGTAATCATCGAATGCTGGGTTAATATCGAGTTTAACGCGAACCGTGAATTTATTTTTATTTTTATCAATCGATGATTACGTACAAGGCGGTTTCTCTCTAAGGGGTCGTCCGCAATTATCGAAAGTTTTTTCCAATCCGTAGTAGCTTCGAAAGTGGGTGGGTGGGTCAAGGCCAGTTACGGATTGAAAAACTTCCGAAATGACACGTGCGCGTGCCACGTGTACGTCTACGTGTAGCCCCTGTTTTCCACGCGCGGCTGCGCGCGAACTGTCTACTACAAATATTTTTGTAGTTCTGGCAGTTTCTGCGCCCCCGCGCGCGCTTCCTTGGCTGCTCCTGGGCCAGTGATCATAAAGTTCGGCGCATTCGACGGCGAGTCGACACTTTCTATTTTTGAGTTTCACTGTCTCCTTCGTCCAGAGTACCGTCTTCCATGCACTCCTTTGAAGTCCTTCCGTCTAGCGCTGGCGCTGACGACTGTTATTGACTATGTCCAGACAGGCGACGTTGTTTGGAAAGGTGGTGAAGAAGCAGCCCTTTTTCAAAACCGCTGGTGACTCTGACATGATGTTACTATGACTCATGGACCAGCACTGATTGAGTTTGTTCCATACATGTATGTGTTGGGTTGTGTGTCCATCAATAATATTTTATTACGGACTGGGGGGGGGTGGGTGGGTGGGTGAGGAAAAATTTGAAGCTACTACGGATTGGAAAAAACTTTCGATAATTGCGGACGACCCCTAAGCTGGTTGTGTTTCTCAACACAATTGTATAGCCGGTGGCAACGCGGATTTTAAATTTTAATACAACATGAACGAATGTGGCCTGCGGGCATAATTTTTCACTTTAGAAAGTTAACAACTTCATCATGAACATACAAACGGTCTCTTTTTATTCACCCAAATGGAGTTGCCCGGAATAATGGCAAGGCTGCCCAATTTACGAAATGCCATTTGGTGAATTTTCAGTCCAGTTTTGGAGGTGAGGTTTTGTCAAAATTGCTGGATATTCTGTGAGAATGGGTGATTTTAAGAGTGATGGTGATGGTAATGGCATAGATGACATCGATAACGTTCATCAGAACCACAGAGAAGACGCTATTCCTCAAGTTGTAAAGCTAGCGAGGCGCAACAGGATCTGCAATGACCGAAAGTGTCGGTGCAAGTGCACAGACGTTTGTTCCACAGGCTGATCTGGAGATGTATGGATGCCTCGGTATATGCATTGTGAAAGAGTTGCAGCCATCGCCAAGACCATCACGGAGGTGGAGGGATCAGTTCCCATTTATGCCGGATAACCCTACCTCCACCCTGGAGATGCAACGTCGGCATGCACCTTGCACATGTTTCGGGTGTTTCCGTGTTTTGGTGAAGAAAATAGATGTCTTTCATGCTGACTGTTTTCTTTTCGCTCTTTGTGGATGGCATATGTCCATGTTGTTCGTGTTTGTGTATATCATGCTGCCAACAATTCACCAACATGTAGGATCAGGTGTGCCGGATTAAGAGGTAGGAAATTGGTGTTGTGCGTTGTGCTTCCGCATTGACACAAGCACACATGGCCACAGAAAATTCTACCTACAGTCCATTCAGAAAAAAATGAACTTCTAGCTTTTGGCCATAAATGGGTCAAACGTTGAGTTTTTTTAGAATTTTTTTCTGCAATCCCATATGGAATCCTCTTCCAATTATGTTTCTGAAGTTTTTTTGTCCAAAAAGCAAGCCATAGCAAGAATAGGATTTCGGCCAGGTTTTGCCCCAAAAGCACTGAATTGGGAAAAACCATCAAAATCCAGGCCGTTTGACCCCGCCTGCAACAGTGCATTCTGTGGTTCGAACCCCAGTTCAGGCACCCTTTTTGGACCCTTTTCAAATTTCAAAGTTCGCAGCACTGCACTGTGTACGATGAAATCACGAAAAATCGCCAAATACGGGAGCTCGCCAGAGCCAGGACCCATTTTTTTATGAATGGACTGTACATGTACATGTACCCTCAAAAAAAGATCAAGAGTACATAACAACTGCATTCAGTGCTGCCCCAGCAGAAGTTCAAGTCGATGTAGTTTTTATGAGCGGCAATGCTCTTCGCCCGAGTGTTTGCGGCGTTTGTACTGGATGCCAACATACCACATGTGTTTCCTTACACCAATTTATGTAGGATCAAAATATTAATGGGGATTTGTCCAGCGCAGCTCCAGGACACGTCTGATAATACATGTACAACGCGCATCGCATCGTAAAAAATGACGTCAACTTGAAATTCTGTTGGGAAAGCACCCATTGTGAAGTTGCTGCGTGATACTCTTACTAGTATGACTCTATCAGAAACTTTACTGCTTGCATACCCGCGTGCACACTTGTACATCAATGCCTAGGACACAATTATACTGTAGTACCTCAAAAGTGAAATTTACTTTGCAATAAAGATTGGAATAATATCGGGATTACATTTTGGTTATTATTTTGCCCCCTGGATCATGAACAGCATCGAACAATTTCACACATACCTTCATAGCAGGCTGAATTTCTCGAAAGCCATCTCGGCATGACTGTAATAGCTGCTAATCTAACCTCATTTTGGTTAGTCGTATGTCGTGAACATAGTCATCATGGTCATTGGCCAAGGAATCATAGTTACAGACTACGTAACAAGTACATAGTGCATAGTGCGAGCGCGCCCATGGCCCATGCATATGCCCTGAGAATGCGTAGATCTACCCCAGTAAAAATATTTCGCTCACGTGGCGGCAATCGACGATTCTGTGCTACAATCCTACATACTAGCAAAGCATGCATGCAGCATGCTCGGGTTTTGAACACACGTACGTGATCACGGGTCAAAAAGCGGAAAAAGTCTGTAGTCTTGTGAAGTAATTATTATTTTTAGTTGTGTACATAGTCTAGAACTAGAACATACCCACATGACTCTACACTCAGACGAGACTACAGTCGTCTACTACATCATGTACATGACCGGCAGAAGAGGACAGAGACAGCCGGCTAGCCTACAGCGCGGATGATTTTGACCTTCTCCGCGGTCACACATGAAAACAGAAAAGCTTGCACCGCTTTTGCGGATGCGGAAAGCGGAACTACCGCAGCCGCTTTGGCGGACCACACGATGCAGCGGTCACACATACATGTAGACTACTGTGCTCCTCAGCTCAACGCTCCGCTTTGGCGGAGAGAATGCAAATGCAGCACGTCCTATGAAATTTTAGAAACACAGGCTGCATCTTTTTCAGATGTTGCTGTAGCCTTTCAGCCGCCCTTTGCTCTGTCGACGATGGACCACCTGATGTCGTACTCTTCACCCTGGTCCTGCAGTGCCCACATGGGCCACAATACAACTTACAAGTGCTTCGACAGCTACGTGCTTTTGCAGTACTTTTCGTATCTTATGAGTCATAGTCGTGAGGTGGTTGCCATAATTATACATAACATGTACATGTAGCGCATCTTGAACGGTGTCTCGCAAAGCCAGAACGGGTCGAAGTAGATCTACTAATACGCGAAGGACTAAAGGGACCGTCACTTAATTTTTGCCGACTACCCGCCAAAAAAATCTTTTCGTTTCACGTGTCAGACACGTCCGCGAGCGCGTCCGACTCGCGCGCGCGCGCCCGCGCTACCTTTCACGTCAGGCAATCTGTTCACGCCACATGGCTGGATCGCGTACATGCAAACATGATTGAAGACTTGCAAAATCAATTTTTTTCCAAGTCCAGGTGCTAGGCGCTAGGCCTAGGCAGTACTACTATAGTACTAATGCCTAATGCCCAGGCAGCTGACTTTATTTTCGGAGAAACACTACTCATTGTAGTAAAAAGTAACAATGAATAGCGATATCATCTAGGAAGGATCGCTACCCTAACGCGAAGGAAAGGCCTTGCGCGGCTGCTCTACGAAGTGTTGAAGAAAGACTCATCAAAGTTAGTTGGTGGACGAACAACTCGCTGGCGCCGGAAAACTTGGCCCCCAACGAGTCGATGGTGTTTGGTGAATCATCAAGCATAATGTCTTGTAGCAGTGTTCACCGAGGAAGGAGAACGCTCTAGTCGCTGCTGTTGTCCGTTCCATCCACGCTGGGCGTTAGCTGCACCGCGCCTATTGTGTTTTAGTATTCCATGGACACACATTAGCATTCAGAGCGATTGTGGAGCCACAATTTACTTCACACAGCGTTGTATTGTCCACGAGCGCAAACTTCATTATCAGCAGTAACTGTTACTCTTCATCCTACATGTAGACTTGGAGTATACACGGCCTTGTCACGACAGCGACAGCTCTACAGAGTGTTCAAGTGAGAAACATTAATTTCTATTGTTGGTGGATGAATAAATGGCTGGTTCCGAAAAAACGCGGCCTGCACCGATGGTGTTTGGTGGATCATCAAACATGGTGACCAGCAGTGTTCACCGAGGAAGGAGAATGCACTCGCCACCACTCCGATTCATCCAAGTGGGCGTTAGCTGCGCCGCGCCTATTGTGTTTTAGTATTCCATGGACGCACACTAGCGTTCTCAGCGATTGTGGAGCCACAACATATCTTCATGCGGCGTTGGACTGTCCAAGAGCAGAAACGTCAGCAGTGACCCATCATCATACATGTAGATTTGGAGCATACACACCATGCGCCAATGGGCCTTGGCACAACAGCGGCAGCTCTACGGAGTGTTCAAGTGAGAAACATTTGTTTCGACTTATGGTGGACGAACAAATCGTCGGTGCCGTAAAACGTGGCCTGCGCCGATGGTGCTTGAAACATCAAACATGGTATGTGGTGACTGTCAGTGTTGATCGAGGAAGGAGAACACTCAGGCCGTCGACCGTTCATCCTTTTCGTTAGCTGCACTAAGTCTATTGTGTCCTTGTATTCCATGGGCACACAATCATGAAGCATGGCGTCTGAGCTGTGTTCACAGAGCGGGGAGATGCTCTTGCTGCTATCTTATCTGTCCTGTGTATTCCCAAGTGCCGAAGGCTTACAACGATGGTGTTGGACAAGTCAGATAAAATAGAGTCAACGTAAGTACGCATGTGTACTCTTACTGACTGAAACATAAGTGGGGTGTAAGAGCTAATTCAAATGGTGTCGTGACATTCTCATGTACGAGGTTAGTGTGTAGTACTTGTTACGTACTGAATTCTGTGACTTTGTTTTGTCTCCATATACTGCATGCATTCACGTTTCACAGTTATCAGTTTGACCCTGAGTTCATGTCTGTTATCCCGTGTCTCCTCTACTTATTTTTGTTTCCACACGGTTCATGGTGTAGCGCTGCACGTGTTCCGTCAGTTTGAACTTCAGCATAAATCGCAACTACTTGTACTTTCAGACATGTCACGTGATTGTTGCCAGGGTTTGAGCCAATCAGAGCGTTTACAGGCAGGGCCTGAACCCCTGATCATGCCTTGCCTGCCAGCTGTACTACGATATTATATGTCACGTACCCGCGCGCGCACGGTTCTCCTGCGCTTGGGCTTGCTTTCCCTTGGTAGTTGGAAGTCAGTGGCTGTTTTAGTACTCTTAGATTATGTACAGAAAGTGGTGGACATCACGCAACTGCAGTATAAATTAAAGGGTGGTTGTCAACTGACAACCGCATAATTTTTCGACATAATTAATAAAAGAATTTTCATCTAAAGAGTGGAAAGCAACTAAATAGAGCGGTTGTCGGTTGACAACCCCCCCTTTTATTTAGATTATGTATCTGAAGTAAACACAACGTAGAAATATCACAATTGTCTCTTGTGTATTATATCCGTCTGATGTCACCAGATCGTCACACGGTGCTGTGACCAAGATACGGATCATGCCGAACGCTGATTCAACTGGACGAATCGCGAGGCTTTTCAGATGCAGGGACACAATGGAAACTGAATGACTTCAGAACAGCACTGAAGCGTTATGTTATCATGCAAGACGCCTTTCTGCGCCGCACAAACACAGGCGGTACTACAGCAGAAAATGTCACTCACTATTCTGCAGGTGCACTGGTGACAGGCGCATGCAAGTTCACCAGAAGGAAGCGGTCTGATGTTAACTGGAATGCCAGCAGTATGAGAGGGTGTGCATTCTGCGGCGGATCTCACCTGGACAAGAGCTGCGCGAAATACGCAACAGTAGCACAGCGGAAAGAATAACTGATTGAACAGAAGCGTTGCTTTGTGTGTTTGCGCACAGGGCACCGGTCAACTCAGTGCAAGGCCACCCGCAAGTGTAATGTGTGTTCTCGCATGGGTCACCAATCAGAGTCACCATCATGTCACGATCTGCCCTGAATCTCAACAGAAATCTGACAGCAGTACCAACATAGTAGCTGACCAGCCTGTGGCTGACAAGGTACCAGCATCTAGCGCAACAGCAGCTAGTGCAGCATCAACCAGTATCGCCATTGACCGTAAGATAGTCAGTCGTCTTGATCGGTGCAGATTTCCTCTGGGAGTCTTGACGGGGAGCACCAGAGGACTTCCGCCAGGACTACAGTTTCTGCCTACCACAGTCGGTTTTGTGGTGACTGGCCAAACACGTCACTCCAAGCACTCAGCTACGCCGATGAGCAGCCATGCCAGCTATCGTTTCTCTAACTGATGCAACTTCCGACTCCTGCACCATCATCCCAGATCTGTGGGACCTAGACTGTGTTGACATCCAGGATTCAGGCAATCTTACTAACAACGACCTAGCCATTAGGCAATTCATCATTGTTCTACGATTTTGCCTGCCACCAATCGTCATGACCTGCGATACTGAGAAGGCCATTTTACAAATCAGTGCCAACCCAGCATACAGAGATGCAACACGATTTCTGTGGTTCGCCAACTCCGACAGTCCATCAGTCACCCCATCCAGCCTGTTCACGCTCATAAGCAGTCCATTTCTGCTTGGCGCGTCTATACAGCATCATTTGCCACAGCAAGATGACAAAACAGCTAGCAGTGGCTATTGGTGAGAACATTTTCTGCTGTGCCATTGGAGTGTGCACTATACACGAACCCTGCTCTTTTGTTGGCACCGCCTATGTAACTTACTGCATAGGGTGCAAGGTGACCGTTGTCGGTTTACATGTACTCCAGTTATTACACCGTGCATGCACTGAGTCTGTGCTGCACTGTGCATCCATAGGTGTTCGTTTGCGGTAGCGCAAGGTTGATGGATTGTTTTGTCCGCTGCTATTCGAAGCTCTCGGAGTCGGAAGCGTTACCTCTGTTTCCCCTGTTCCTCCCTGCGCGGAGTCTGTAGTTCTGGCTTGCAGTCGCTGTTACATGCATGTTGGCAGTTGCATGTGTTTTGGTTTTCAGTTGTCTTCATTTGTTTTGTGTGGACGACAGTTCAATATTCTAGCAGTTGTTGCACTTCCTACATTCCGTAGTTATCTGCGGTTGGTGTTCGAGAGAGCAAACTGTGTTCTTCTCCAGAGTGGAGTAAACCATTCGCTTGTGTCTGAGGAAAACCCTGTGTGTTGACGAAGAGGTTGACTTGGCTGTAGAGTGAAAGTACCACATGGTCACATGGTCCACAAAATCTTAGAACTAACTTAGGGTCTTCTGGCGTATGGTATGATTATATGAGCAGCATGAGAGTGAAGTAAAAGACTA